TATAACAGGCACAAAAACAACCAACCACAACATCAGATGCCTCACTCAAGGGTTTCATAAAAGCTTTCAACAGGAAGGCAGTAAATCACAGGCAAACAAAACTTTCTTAACTGAACTTCTTTATAAGAAAACCAATTTTCTAGATGATGTAAGCAAAATTATGAGGAGCCCAAAGGTTCCTAACCATGAAATCCTGGGTACCCAGCACTTAAGCTTATATGACAAGAGTCAGTTTTTCCAGTTGCCCAACGGCAAAAGTTAGTTGCCTGTGGCACCCAGGCACTACTAGAGTACAGCCCTGGTTGGACAAAATAGGCTGGCAAAATTGTCCTCACATCATTCTGGTCAATTTGCTTGGTGCCTGCTCCTTGACAAAGGCCCTGCTGTAATGTATCATACTCACAGTTGACAAAACAAGCCCCTTGCTGGCAGAATCACAATGTAGTTTATGATCTTGGAAGCTACTCTATGTGGCTACTGATCTGGCCCGCGTTGTTCAAAAGGTGGGTAATGCTATCCACTGGATAAATCACTATCCAGCATGCAAATAGTGCAGTTTGTTTTGCTAACACTTATCTGGTGGATAGAATTATCCAGCCTTCAAACAACTGGGGCCTGATCTTTTGGGAAAATATGCCAAAATCAGACACCTTTCTTAATGCTTAATTTTAACACCCACTCACCTCTAAACTAGCTGATGAATCATCGTCTTCTAATCCCAGCAAATTTCCAGAGTTTCTGATGAACCTTGTGCTAGATATATTAAGACATGAAACTTGAGCTGTGATGATTTTCTTGTCAGAAGATACTCTGTTACCCTCGAAGTTTGAGGCAACAATGGTTACTGTATGAACACTTCCCACAAAAACAACCGGTCCAAAATTATCCGAAATGTTACAATTTATAATATGTAATGTGCTAAGATCTCCTGGAAACGACATTACTGAGAGTAAAGGCAACCCAAGGTGGTAGCCTGAACACCTAGAAATGCTGTTTTCTTGAAGTGTAATAGTAGATGAGCTTGCAGTGATGCTAACGTTTGTTCCTTGTGCCGTACACTGACAAATTGTTATGTTGGACATAAGAGCATGATACAGGACAGGTTGACTGTTCTTCCAGTGAAGATCAACCATGCTCACTTCACAGAACTGTACATTTAATGAGAAATCAACTTCAACCACTTGCTTGTGTTGCCTGTTAAAAAAGATTTGTGGAAACTATTTCAGTTATTTTTACACCAAGAAAACTTGCTATGAGAAACCTATATATCCAAAAACTATGTTTCAGTGCTGTTTTGAAGCCCCAGTTTGTTCAAATTTTACAACATGAAACACTCCAAGAAATGATCTTTAGAATATTCTGATGGAAACAGAAGAACTGTCAGGAAATGAAAACAAAACTGATTCAAACAGATTTTTCACATCTGACAACAAAAACCCCCGTGAGCCTGAATACAACACTACTGCAAATTCACGTAGATGTGTAGTAGCTAACTTGTACCCAGTCACTCTTTAAGGTGGCCGGACACAGTTTGCGCGGGCGCTTTTGCTGATGCAATCCAGCGCGCGCAAGGATTGCAAAAAA